CCTACCGTACGTACGTAGTAAGTAGACGTACGTAGTAACGTTAACGTAACGTAATACTACTAACTACTAACTAACTATATATATATATATATATATATATATACATACAAATACACATATCGAATTCATAAATTCTCAGTCACACATGGTAACATAAATAAATTAATACAAAATATTATTACATAAGTCCAGTAACATTTGATTGACAGCTTTGACAAGTTTATATAACATAATAAACATTACAAAAAGCTTTAAGTACTTTACATATTAAACACCATTTTAGTTTATGGAAATATCAGTGTAAGCTGTTCCTTTAACACCGTATAATTGGGTTATTCTAAATATTGTACTTTTAAATCTTAATGACTAAATGTTTAACACCATGAATATATATATATATATATGACAACGAAGAGCTTGGAAGCAAAAATGCGGTATTCAATATATCATTCACAATAATACTGAGTTGCCAATGGCATTGTGCTTACTGTTTTTTTTGTTAATTAAAACTTAAAAGTAAAATCCTGGAGAGTTATATTTATAGTATATTTCTTCTTGTGCAGATTTATTAGAATTACAAGTACTGAAGTAGAGTTTGATAAAATTTTGTCCGTTAGATGACTTTTCAGTAATTCCACATTCTGCCATATATTTTTAATTTTACTTTTAAGATACACAATAAAAATCAAAAACGAAAAAAAAATCAGGTTTCAATATTCAATTATTTATCGAAATGGGTAAACGTTGGGAAGTCTGAAAACAATAATAGCCTTTCTTCACGGTGTAGTTAAACATGCTCGTGAAGGCAAAAATAAAGGTTATTTTATACATAATGTAGTACATCTAATATGTATGCCCATGTAAGTGAAATCGAGTTAAGCTAGTAATGGTAATACTGAATAATAAGACAGTTTATTAATTAAAGTTTAAACCTTTTCTTCTGACGAGCTACGTTCGTTTGAATTAAAATCAATTTAAAAACTTTTCAAAGCTATCCAATATTACTTTTAATATCACTACTGCAATTCATGAAATATAAGTCTGTTTTTAAGGACCCAAATTTAGCTTTCTTAAAATTAAAATAAAAGAACGTTAATCATACTAACCAGTGACATTTTCACATATTATTCTCAGACATGATTTACGTTTGCCCTCTTGCGGTAATAGAAATTTAATGCATATTAAAATCACATATAAAAAATATGGTTATTTTAACAATTTCTTTTATTATTGTCAGATGTATTTAATATTATTGTTTTAAGTATTAAGAAGAGCAATGAATTAAACAGTACCAGAACAATACGTTGACTTGAAAATATATTGTGAAATATTATACAGAGAATTTAACGTAAAAAACAAAATAAAATTAAAAACTAGTTTTTTTCTGGAATAGTTCACTAACTTGTTTTCAGCGTTTGTCTACGTAGTGATTTTTTTCATCTTTGCATTCTACAAATTGTAGAAATTAAAGTAAATATCAAGAAACACGGGCTTTTCATATGTATAGAAACGGTCTACATATGATTCTAAAGAAGTTTATCCCTAATTTTTCTAAACATGACTAAAACTATACCTAACAGAATCGATCCCCGGATTTTAGTGTTGTAAATACGTGAAATTGTTCAAAATCTTAAATTATATAAAATCACCTCTGAACTCTTTACTATAATTCTTTTCTTTATTGATACTCTAAGAAATTGAAACACTTTACAATAATTGTTTGTCTTTATTAATATTCTGAGAAATTGAAACACTTTACTACAATTGTTTTTATTTATTTAAATTCTAAGAAACTGCCATATATATATATAAATGAATATTCTGTCTCATGTCAAAATCCTTCTGGTATAATCCAAGGAATATAAATTACTTTTTCTTCGGCTCAAAAGTATCTGAATAAACAAGAATCCACAAGGATTCCTAGAATTCAATCGGCAATTCTATCCTCTGTGAGTCTGTGATAAATTTGTAGAATTGCAGCATTAAAAAGAGGGAAGCTTTTTTCTATTTGAAGATCCTAGCTGATATGTTGACCTAACACCAAAATAATGTGTGCATACACACAAAGACACCATTTGTAATGACAACCTTGCCGCTAGGCGACACCAGATGAAAATCTTCGTCAAGTTTGTTTTTTAATTATGCACAAAGCTACACAATGGCTATCTGTGCTCTGCCCACCACGAGTATCGAAACCCGGTTTCTAGCGTTGTAAATTTGCAGACATACTGCTGTGCCACTGGGAGGGCATCTTCGTCAATCAGTTTTCAATACAGGCGTTACTTTTACCAAATAGTTAATCTGGCACTCAGAAAACAGTTTAAGTCAGTATTGAATTTTTCTTTATTTCATGCTTCGTGATGTCGTTAAGCCTTTTATACAAACGTAACAGAAACAGAAGATAATAAAAAATTCTTTGGAACCTAAATCGTATAAGGTAATATAATTTCCGAAGTTTACTTATTAGTTTTCTCTTATGTTAAAGAGAGTCTATATATTCCTTACCGACCGCACGTTTCAAGAAGAAAAGTGAGACAGTGATAATTATTGTGGTATAGATAAGTAAGGTGGATATTCCTAAAATATTTTAGTGAATTCAAACACTAAAACGATGTGACAACTAAAAACCACTTCAGTCAGTATTTTCCATTATTATCTAATATTACATGATATTTTAAAGCCTTTTACTCAACGCCATTTGAATAAATAAATTTTGTTGAATTCGAAGCAGAATATAATACATTACACCTAAATTCGTCTGCGGACTAACAACGTCAGAAACCGATACCCGTGGTGGGCAGAGCACAGAAAGCCCATTGCGTAGCTTAACTGCAAACAAACATATAAATTATAAAATTATCAAACACATTTTTGTTCATGTTGAGTAGGAGTATAAAGATTTTATGGTCAAACTATTTAAATACAATACGTACGTTTTATTTTTTGCAGAAGATGTTAGATCAAAGTAAGAGTCATATACATTTAGCATAATCTCTTTATGTATTTGGTTGAAATTTATGAACACTCAGATATAATTATCCACACACTCACACACACACAAATTAAGGGTCTCTATCTATCTTGTCTATTTGTCTATACACATATAGTGTGAAATAAAATTTTCCAAGCTTTATTTCTATTTTATTTAGATCTTTATTCACCAGTAATAAAATCCACAGGTCTTATTTTCATCTCGCTTGTCTTTAATGTGCTATGTTTACTTTTCCACTCATACCAGGTAATACCTGTAGTGTCTACCTTATCTTCTGTGTAATACAAACCGTTTAAATTTGGAACGATGACATGAATTATACCACCATCCGCCTTTGAAGGATTGAGCACAACTGCCGCTGTTTTTATCGTTGTCTTTATCCTTGGTGCTGAACATCATGTTGTTGTGAATAGTAAGGGAATTTCCTAAAATAATATCGAAATAATTTTAAAATTAAATAACAAAACATAAACATCTAATGTAGGATATTATCTATTCGAGTAGGGTTTCTTTTTTCAATTGTTTTCTAACTATGAACCAGAGTTGTAATACTTAAATGATATTTATTCAAAATATTTCTAATTTCTGTTAATGATTTTATTAGCTTAACGATTATATATATGAC